TTGACATCATCACGGGCAATGGAGCTGCAATGCTACGCACACGCTTTGTACTGCATTAGACCGGCTCAGTTCGCCTTCTGCTCCATACAATTCGGCGAAGCTCTGCCATAACTGTTGTCGCAAAGGAGCTTATTAGATTCTAAGCTTCCATCTGATGCCATGGCATGGCTTTCACGATGTTGCCCGTTGTGATGGAACGGCTCATTGTCTACTCGAGGACTCTCATAGTGCTCTGCTCAAAGAACCTTCCACATTTGTTATAATGTATGTGTGTGTGTGTGTGGGTTTACATGATTGAGCGTGAGCGTGTGTGTGTGGGTGTTCTGTATACGTATGCATGCACACAACAAACAGAAGAGCTTTTAAATAAATATGCATATATAGGGTATTTTCTAGTCAGGCACTCTCCACTCTGGCAGTATTGCTTGTTTTATTTTATTAATATTGTTTTTGTTTTGCTATTTGTTTTGCTGCATGACAGTCGCATAAACAGCATCGATAAATAAATTCAAATCAAATATTGGCGCGCCATATGTCGTGCTGCCACTTATCGATAGCCATGATTATCGATAGCACGTGAAATTAATTGATATGCGAGTCAATATATTGACTGCCATCACTGTTGTTTAGTCAGTGCAGCCATATACATGTGTGTATGTATGTAAGTATATATTCCGCAGCGTGTGGCCGCCGGTGCCGCATTGGGTCGGCTTGATTAATGGCTTGATTGACTGCCAGATTGATTGATTGAATAACTGAGCTGCACGCGCACTATATGTGGCCAACAATTTCATAGCAGTTTACAGCTCGATCACGTTCCATGCCCTGCACCGATCTGCCAATCCAACTACGACTTTAATCTAATAAGCAGTGCCCGCTCGCACGCTCAACCTCTCCAAATGAGATGCCGTACTGTGGAGTGGCCCCCACTTTAGTCAGACGCCTTTTTTATAAGTGTTGCTTCTGTGCCTGTAGTTTAATTCTTTTTTTTTTTTTTTTTGCTGTTTTGCAGGTAGAAGAGACAGACCCGCTGAGCAGTCAGCGTTAAATGCAATAAATGGCGTAAAACTTTGCGGTTTCCGTGCCGACCTGCTGCCGCTGTAGCCATCAATATAGAGCAGCCGCCCAAGCCACCCAACCACACAAAACGCAGGCCAGCTCCACTGCATAAATCAACCTAAAATGTCAATGAGGGGACATTACATTATTGAGTTGGCGCTTGGCCGTTGACGGTTGAATAGCAGCCCGCATCCTGCATCCTGCTGCCTGCTGCCTGCCTGCCTGCCTGCCTGCGTCCTGCCTGCTGCAGCAGGCAGTCACCTGGCTTTTGGTCCTGCGCTGACTTCCGCACCAGCTCCACCTCCACCTCCACCTCCAGCTTGCATCCCGCATTGCGGTGGCACTTCGGTTGTTGGCATTAGTTTGACATTTACTTTGGCACGTCGTTAGCTGAGTGCCATGTGCGAGTCATCAGGCTTCACCAGCCGCTAAAACCCACTGACAATGGGTATGAGTGTGAGTGAGAGTGTGTGTGTGTTTGTGTATGGGTGTGTGTGTGTGTGTGTGTGTGCGTTTGTGGCACATTAGAGTGCCTGCTCGGTAATTCAAATAGTTGAAATTGTTTAAGCTTGATTTAGGCGAGCACTACACACTTTGCCACACACACGCAAACACACACACACACACACACACACACACGCATACCGCAAGCATATTTAGCTGCCCGTGGTGGCGTCAAGTTATTTGAAGCACTTTAGCCTGGTTTGCATTTGAAGATGGCACAAGCTTGCTATGTTTGGTTTAGGTATGCATGAAAGTCGCAGCAGATAGTGGGCTTAGCTCTCATAATGCTTTAGCAACCACCCACCCACCTCCCAGCCAGCCAGCCAGCCAACCACCCGACGCACAACAAATTAAGCCTTTTAGCAAACACAAACAAAAGTCCAATTTGTTGCCAAGTTGTGATGCTGTCCAAAATGCCAAAGCCGTTAACTGGCCAACGCCTTGGAAGACGCGCCCAACCGCGCATTCCACGCCTTTTAGCACGAGCAACGCAACCCCTTTCCCCTTTTCCCGTTTCCCCTTGCCCGCGAACCCAGCGTACAGCGAGCAGCTTGCTAAACTTTCGCAGAAGCCGTCATCTATGTACACAATATATATGTATATGTATTTCTATATATTGCTATATAACTACTATATATAGATATATATATATATGTATATATATTTGTATTCATTTTACTTTTGGCCTACGCCACGCTCGTCGCTTGTTTTGTTTGACTTTGATAACAGGCGGGCGCTAGATTTCTGCTGATGTTGACGTTGATGAAATTTAACAAATTTGAAGCGTGGAAAAATTTCAGCTAACATTCGGCGACGTCATATCTTTTATTGCCCAGGCAGGCGCGAGGCATCGAGGCAACGCTAGCTAACAGCAGCGACAACTAAAACAGAATAAATTGAATGAATGGGATGGGGAGCGGGTGTGAAGCACTACATGATACTCTACCATATCACATTCAAGAAGGCTTCAAAGAGAGCGAGAGAGGGAGAGAAAGAGGGAGTGTGCGAACTGTATGCCAATAGGGTATCAGACTCTGCCTAATACTCTACCCAAACAAGCTTCAGCTTTAAGAGCGAAAGTGCGAAGGAGTGAGAGAGGGAGGGCGGAAGTGAACTGTAGCAAGGACTGCAATATACTCTACCAAAAGTTGCCAGAGCAAAGAATAATCTAGAGGAAGAGCACCATTGGGGCAGTGAGAGAAAGAGAGTGAGAGTGAGACAGTGAGAGAGAGAGAAGGAGAGAAAGTAAACAGACTGTGTACATAGCAACATCTTTTCAATAGCATAATACTCAATTACAATTACAAAATAAGGAAAAGAGAGAGAGAGACAGAGTATCTCTAAGAGAGAGACAGAGTATCTCTAAGAGAGAGACAGAGTATCTCTAAGAGAGAGACAGAGTATCTCTAAGAGAGAGACTGAGGAAGAACGATAGGCATAACCCTATAAGCTTACCTATACCAAGATTTCGACATCACAGCTAAATATTCTAAGACCCTGTTACTATTTTTTTTAGAAAATAGATTATTGTAGAGTAAATTATTATATTCCTTGGAACGATAAACTCTGATAGGATTACTAAGACGCTGAGTTGAGTTTCTACTAGTATTTGTCTACTTGATTACTACTTAAAGTAAATGTATAACTAAATCAGCATTTTTTCAAATAGGTTCGTCCAGTCTAACGAGTTTACTTATGTACGCTAGGCCGGGTATTGGGCAGTCGAGAAACCCCCATGGAGTCACTTTTCAGCATATCGATTGGCTTCTCAATGAAATGTACGAAATTCCAGCTGCAACACTAGCCAACATTTTTGTCAAGTGTACGGAATTTGGATATCTATGTATATATACGCACACATATATACACATATATATGTATATATATTTAAAAAATACAAGTATATACATCTATGTAGATACTTTCGCCATCCCATTAAGTGATTCAAGTGTCAGCCTTATTAAATAGATACAACAAAATAAAAATGTAATGCCTCTTAGTGCCACTGTGCAGCATTTGTGGCTGGGCAAGCGGCTTATGCAGCTCCATCGCTAATCCCAGGCACTTTGGGGAGCCTAGAAATGAGAGCGCTTGAAATTATTACAATTACTAGCTGACTAGATAACCGAAATCCAGTGATGGCGGAATGAGACTGACTGTGATCCCAGCGGCTGTCTTAAATAGTCTAAGATAATGCGACATCTCGGCCCTGGCTGGCTTATTCAATTATTCAGGAGTCTGCTCCTCCGGCACTTCCGGCTACAATGCAAGCGGGCGCTGTCGCAAGCGAATCAAATTCTTAGACACCTACTACAACAATATAATCAACTCAAAGCATATTTCAGAGCGAAAGCGTTGAGCATTCCATTTGTATTATTTTCATTTTTGTTTTTCTTCGCTTTTCACACGTTACTCGCATTCGGAGCTTGCCTCAACGGGTCTCACGTTGGACACATGTCAAGCAGTTGCATAAGAAAGCTTTTGAGAAAATGTCTTCAATTTTTGGTTGTTTTCTGTTTTCAGCTCCCCCTTTCCCTCTCTTGCCTCTTTCATTCAGCTTTCATCATTTTACGTTCCGGACATATTTCAAGCAAAGTTTTTGCGAATATCAATTTTTGTTTGCTGTGTTTTTCTATCCGACGTTAACTGCTCGTATGGCTTCTTGCTTTAGTCACCTTTTTTTTGTATACATACATATACATGTTTCGTTTGTGTGTGTGTGTGTGTGTGTTGATGCTGTGAGCCGACAGCTGGCAGGAGAAATGATTTGCCAAAAAATGTGTGCAAGTTCTTTTGGAGCTGGCGACACTTTGACACCGGCTTGCATAACTTACTTGGCGTCTCCGGGGAGCGACGGCCAATAATAGCAGGATTCACACCACTGTGCAGCGCTGATTAAACAAGAGCGCACGGAGTGCACGAATGGTGGTCCGTCCATTCAGTAATGCCATGTCCATGAGTAATCCCAAATGGTTTTAGTGCGCTGGGAAAGTGGGAACCTGTGCCATGTAATCACAGCAAATTAGTTCACTGAGCGATTATTTGCGCTGAGCTTTCGCTGCTGGCGCTGCCGCTGCTGCCTGTTGGCGGTTACCAGGTGCGCCAGTTATGGAAGCTCCCCTGCAATCAAAATGGCGCCAGAGGCAAACCATGTCGTCATCCAATTTACGACACTGTCGTGATCATTGCGCCCAGCTAGCCGGGCCGTGCGTGCGAACAGTCGCTGCGGGAGTGATCTTAGCTTTGTTTAGATTACGCTCATATGATTGGCCAATGGCGAGGGGGATTGGGGATTTGATGGATAAGCGGCAGTAGGCGGCAGTGGTATAAACGTTGTCTGATTATCAACCTCTTTATTTTTTTTGCTTATGTGTTTTTTTTTTTTTTGAACTGATTTAAGATACAAGATACGGCGTAAGTAGGTTTTAGTCAACAATAGAACGCTAGAGCAGACGGAGCAACTGCCTCCAGTGAGTGTGTGGCAGCAAAAGCAACTAGAACAAACAAGATGATCAGGCTAGAGGAAGTGAAGGATGATGACACACCTCCCCCCAGGAAGCCACCTCAACAGCCGGCGGACTTTGAGACGGCCATCGATGCGGCGGGCTTTGGCTTGTTCAACATCTTGCTGCTCCTGGTGGCTGTCGGCGCTGCGATGGGAACGGTCTATGAGACGTCTACCATGTCGTATATACTGCCGAGCGCCGAGTGCGATCTGCATTTAACCCTGATTGATAAGGGTGTACTGAACGCGGTCACCTATGCGGGCATGATATCGTCGGCCATACTCTGGGGCTATGTAGCCGATACGAAGGGACGCAAGAAGCTGCTGGTCTACGGTTATTTGGCAGACACGATTTGTGTGCTGGGCGGCGCCATTAGCCAGGACGTAGTGCAGCTCATGATCTTTAAGTATCTGGGCGGCTTCACGTAAGTTCCAACTAACTAAATAGGCGCAATAATATGTACGATGATGTACGTTGATGTACATCCCAAAACACCTAGTATGAGCGGACCGTTTGCCGTGCTGATGACATATCTGACGGAGCTGCATGGACGGCAGTATCGCCAGCGCATCATGATGCTGGTTGGCATTATGTTCAGCCTAGCCACGCTCAGTCTGCCCGGCCTGGCCATGGGCATCTTGCCCCAGACCTGGGACATACAAATTCTGGGACTCTCATGTAAGTGACCTTCGCACTGACCTTCGCGGTTTGCTCAGCTCAGTTAGCTATCTGATAGTAGTTGCTTTTATCTGTGCGAATAGTACGGCACTGATAACTAGAATAATTTACGATTTGTTTAAGTTGCATTAGATATATTCATCGGTTCACACTTGCTATAAACAACTTGGACCAATTTAGAGTCCATCGGTTTATACTTGCTGTAAAATAGATACATTCATTTATAGGTTATGGATTTACACTTGCGAAAAGTAGTTATATGGCTTATCGTTTTACACTTTCACTTTACCGGCTTACACTTGCTACAAAATAGTTGTATTGACTGTTGGCTTGCCAATTTACACTTGCTATAAAATTGTTATATTCATTTATGGTTTATCGGTTTACACTTGCTATAAAATAGTTATACTGACTCTTGATTTGTCAGTTTACACTTGCTATAAAATAGTTATATTGACTGTTGGCTTGCCACTTTACACTTGCTATAAAATAGTTATATTGACTGTTGGCTTGCCACTTTACACTTGCTATAAAATTGTTATATTCATTTATGGTTGATTGGTTTACACTTACTATAAAATAGTTATATTGACTCTTGATTTGTCAGTTTACACTTGCTATAAAATAGTTATTTTGACTGTTGGCTTGCCACTTTACACTTGCTATAAAGTAGTTACATTGACCTATGGCTTATCAGTTTATACTTGCTATAAAATTGTTATATTCATTTATGGTTTACTGGTTTACACTTGCTATAAAGTAATTACATTAATTTATGACTTATCGGCTTACACTTGCTATAAAATATTTATATTGACTCTTGGTTTGTCAGTTTACACTTGCTATAAAATAGTTATATTAATTTATGGCTTATCGGTTTATACTTACTATAAAATAGTCATATTACTTTATGGTTTACTGGCTTCTGCTCACTATAGAATAGCTATATTGACTTATAGTTTATCGACTTAGGCTTGCTCTAAAATACATAACTATACTTGCTTTATAGTCGATTTGCACTTAAAATGAAGTTTATGTATATATCCATAGATTAACGTTTAATAGTTGATCAATTTACACTTGCTATAAAGTAGCTATATTCATTTATAATCTTTCGATTCACACTTACTATAAACTAATTAATTGTTAAAAAGTTGCTATAAATAAATATGGCTAATCAGATTACATGCTATAAACTGGCAGGAAGATATTTAAAGTACAAGTAGCATTAAAATCTGAAGTACACGCATAAAGAGAATCAAAATTATTTTCAAGTGCAAACATTATTTATTCGATCCAATTAACTAAGTAGCTGCCAACTAACTCACACACTTAGCTAATGGTATAAACAAGTATGCACACCACATAATAAGCTAAGTCTAGCAACGTAGTCAGGCCAAGAAGTTGCCACAAGTGATTCGATTAACTGTCGAGATCTCATTGACAGCTTAAAATATAATTAAGAGTCATTTGGGCTAAAGTTGGCAACTTTGACTAGGTGACGTGTTCATGTTGAATAAATAACAGCTTGACGCGAACCGAGTTTAGTTTAGGTCTAGGACTCTGGCTGCATACAACCGATTCCCAGCCCCAGGCAGCTCTGCATACATAATTGCGCTTGATTATAAACATATTTCGAATGCTTATTGAGCTCAACAACAATGGCTAACTTTTCTTTGGTCTCCACTTGCAGTGCATGCCTGGCAGGTTTTTGTGGCCATTAGCGCAGTGCCGAGCATCCTGAGCTTTGCTTTCTTTCCCTTCTTCCCGGAGAGCCCGAAGTTTCTGATGTCGCGCGGACGCAACAAGGAGGCGCTGGAGGCGTTCAGGTTCATCTATGCCCTGAACAAACGTCAGCCGCGCTCCGCATTTCCAGTGAGTGAGAGATTAATGAAAATTGGAAACTAATTTGCATAGCTTGGTTTCTTTACTGAAACTCCCAGATCAAAGAACTGGCCAATGAACTGTCGCCAAAGTCCGATGCCCAACAGCCGGAGCAGACGTCTGGGAGTGGCAAGCCGGCCGTGGATAAGGCGCTGCCCAAGGATGCGGACGTCGAGCTGGCCAGCAAGCCAAAAAGTTCACTGCACCGGGGTCTGCTCCAGCTGCGTCCGCTCTTCGTCAAGCCCTATCTGGGGCTCTCGCTTCTGGTCTACCTGCTCAACTTTTGTGTGCTCCTGGGGTAAGGGTTCACGGCTGGCCACATAGGTAATCCCCGTGCAATACATATACATATATACATATATTCGCAGGCAGAACACGATGCGTCTTTGGCTGCCGCAGCTGTTCGCCTCCATCAAGGAGTACGAGCAACTGGCCAGCAGCCAGGCCCAGCCCGGCGGCACCAGCATCTGCAGCATCGTCGAGTACAGCGTGAATCGTACGCAGAGGCAACTGGAGGCAGCCGCCATGGGCGGTGGCATGGCCGAGTGTACGGTGAATGTGAGCGCCTCCAGTTACACGAACAACTTGATTGTGGCCTCCGCCGGCCTGGTCTCCTACACACTGGCCGGTGTCCTGGTCAATCTGGTGGGCGTCAAGCGGATTATGTGTTAGTATTAATCAAATCAAAACTCTGTCTAGGACTCGCTCCTGAATTTTGTGCTACGCTCTGATTTGATTGATAGTTATGTGTCTGTTTGCCGCCGGCTCCTGCGCCCTGGGCATGTACTGGTCGAGTTCATCCACAACGACCGTGGCGCTGGCCTCCATTTTCGTATCCATGGGCAGTATATCGGGCACATCACTCATCAGCGCCTCGCTCAGCATGTTTCCCACGGCACTCCGGTAGGTCGACGCACTCACACATCTAACTATTACCGCACTCTAATCGACAAATCTCACCTGACTGCGTGTTGCTCCTGACAGCACCATGATCGTCTCGCTGAGCATGATGGTCGGCCGCATGGGCTCGTTGCTGGGCAACATCTTCTTCCCGGCACTGATGACCACCGGCTGTCTGCCGCCCTTCCTCATGGTCAGCTGCTTTATGTTCAGTAAGTAGCTCGCTCAGGGGCTTCACCCTTTTAGTCCTTTTATTTAATATTTATTATTTATGTTTTATTTTTATATCTCCTCTCCGTCTTCTTCTGCCACCTTTCAGCCGGCTGCCTGTTGGCCTCATTTCTGCCCGTGAAAAACAAAGCCGTACTGAAGTAGCTCAATTTCCATATTCATGAATCCATTTACCTCCAATCAACTTTTCACAGATTGCTTTTTACGATATAGCCGCTAGCTCTAGTTAGTCTTAAGTTCTGTGTGTGCTTCATTTTTTTTTTTTTTTTTTTTTTTATATATACTCATATATATGTATGTATATATTTCTGTGTTTCGTTTGTTTGTTCTGCTGTTATTAAAATTTAATTTATTACAAAATGAGTGCTGCAACGGCATCTAGAAACTTTGTTCTTGACACTCCTTAATTGCACCCACTTATTAATTCCTGTTCTGCTGCGCATACATTAGTCCTCCCTGGAAGCAAGCCAAGAAATTGCAAGAACAACAAGAATAATTATAATAAAGCCTGAACAAAGCAAAACCGTCAAGTTCATGAATTCAATTTACGATTTTGGTTTGCTTTCGGTTCGCCTGTCTCCCGGTTAGACACTGATGCAACTCGAGTGCCCCGATGGTTGGGGGATGATGAATGATGGATGATGGATGAGAAGGCAATACGGTGTTGGTGCCAACGGCTTCTGCAATGAGAGCTATAACAAATTTTATAATTAAGACGATTTGAATGCTGAAGGAAAACATATTTGCAGGGAATGGGAATTCCGTTCTCTTGGCTTGATAATGAAGAAATGTTTTGCTATTTATACAATGGGAATTACAGCAGAATATATAATTAAGAAGATTTTGAAATTTGAAGGAAAATATATTTTAATAAAGCAGAAATGTTTTGCTATTATGTGATGCATGTGTTTTTAGCACGAACTCATTGAAAGGGGTTTTCGCGTGGAAAGCTGATTATGTTTCAAGGTCTGCAACAGGCAGCAGGCAGAGACGCGATCGACTTCTTACAGTAAAGTTTAAAGCAGATACATATGCATGATAGGAAATATCCATGTATCTATCGATCTATATATCCGTCGGCTATCCATCCGTCTATCCGTTGTCTATTCGTTCGTCTATCCGTCCGTCTATCCGTATGTCTATCCGTTCGTCAATCCGTATGTCTATCCGTCCGTTTATGCGTCCATCTATCCATCCGTCTATCCGGCCGTCTATCCGTCCGTCTATCCATCCATCTATCCGTCCGTCTATCCATCCGTCTATCCGTCCGTCTATCCATCCGTCCGTCTATCCATCCGTCCGTCTATCCATCCGTCTATCCGTCCGTCTATCCATCCATCTATCCGTATGTCTATCCATCCGTCTATCCGTCCATCTATCCATCCGTCTATCCGGCCATCTATCCATACATCCTCATCAGTTGCATGATTAAGGCCTAGGTATCTCCCAGTCGGTCACTCCCTGCTAACGGAGCCATGCTTGCATATTTGAGAAATGATTGAAGCATCACTTGAACAATTGCTGCCTAATGACTGTAACACCTTTAATTGTCCCTTTATTAAACCTGCATCATAAAGTAGTCTCTGTACTACAAGAGACGAACGGATGACAAATTTGTTGTTTTCCTATTGAATATCTATGCACCAAGTGTAAGCAAACGAATAGCAAACACGCCTACCAACCGGATCTGCAGACATTCAGACACATCGAGCCCGCATGCTCTATCCGAGTGAGTCGACAGGTGTCTGGGTCACTCGGGCAGCTCAGATGCCGGGAGCCGCGCGACTTCATTAAAATTTATGAAATGCTCCAAAAGAGGCGAGTATAAAAACAGTTGCCATTTGCCTTGGTTGGGCCAGGTAGTTTAAGTAGTTAACGAATGGAATATTTTGAGTAGGGCCAACAGAAGCCTCACTCGCCTGCGCCTGCTCGCTCTCTCCCATGCAGCAACTATCATAAGAAGTGCTGTGATAATTTGCAACAGTTCTTATCGCAATCAGTTCTCTCTCGTTCTCTTTCGCTCTCTCTCTGTCACTCTGTGGCTCTCTCTGTCTTTATATACATATATTTTTCCTTCGTTAGCGCTTGAGCACGCTCTTGGCGGCTCCGGGTGATATATGAGCCGATTCTAGGCAGCCACCAGCGCTAGCTAAATGGAAATGTTAATTATCTGACAACGGAAACGCTTAAAGTTAATGTGAGCCGGCAGCAGACAGACATAGACGGCAAACAGCAGGCATTTAGGAGGCCGGCCTCTCTCTCTCTCACTCACTCACTCTCGCTATCTCTTGTTTAGGTGCAGCTTAGACTGAATGGGGAACGGGTTGAGCGGGGGAGAGCTGGGGGCAGGCAGTGGCGACAGCTGGGAACATGATTTCACAAATCTTTGAAATCGGAGAAGCCGCAAAAAGTTTTAATTAAAAAACTTGTCGCTTGACTTGCTAAATGGGGCCATGGTCAGAAGGGTCTTAGTACCCCTATCCCTATGCCCTAGCCCCTGGCCTCTACCACTCTCTGTTGCTCTCTCTTTCTCTAGCTGTAGCTGCAATAGAATCTGTGAGTGAATGGCAATGGGAGTGCATCACCTCAACAGGTTACACACGAGCGCAATTTACGTCACGTTCGCCCGTCCGCTTAATCTTATCAGCCGGCAAGACAGGCGGGAATGGAATGGAATGGGAATGGAAATGGGAATGGGAACGGTAGCGGCAGCATAAATGCATGCCGCACAGGGCACGGCGTCCACAGTCGAACAAGATGAGCCTCAGCGACAAGGTGGTGATTGTGACGGGGGCAAGCAGCGGCATTGGTGCTGCCATCGCCCAGGTAATGGCCCGTGAGGGAGCACATTTGTCGCTGGTCGGACGCAACGTTAAAAATTTGGAGGCGACCCAAGCGACAGTCCAGCAGCTATATAAAGGCGTCCAGACACTCACTGTGGAGGCCGATGTGACCAAGGATGCGAATGCAATAATACAACAGACGCTGGACAAATACGGACGCATCGATGTGCTGGTGAATAATGCCGGCATTTTGGGTAACGGCCCGCTCATCGATCTGGACATGGACGAATTCGATGCGGTGCTCAATACAAATCTGCGCGCCGTTGTGGTCCTCACCAAGGCAGCTCTGCCGCATCTGATAAAGACAAAAGGCGCTGTGGTCAACATTAGCAGCTGTGCCGGCATCCGTCATTTTCCCGGCGCCCTCTCCTACGGCATATCGAAGGCGGCACTGGATCAATTCACGAAAATCGTCGCGCTGGAGCTGGCGCCGCAGGGCGTCCGTGTGAACTCGGTGAATCCGGGCTTTGTGGTCACCAACATACACAGTCGCATTGGCATTGTGGACGAGGCATACAATACGATGCTCGAGCGCGCCATCAACTCCCATCCCATGGGCCGTGTCGGCGATGTGTTTGAGGTGGCCGAGGCCGCCGCATTCCTGGCCAGCTCCAAGGCCAGCTTCACCACTGGCGCCCTGCTGCCCGTCGATGGGGGCAAAAATAATTTTACGCCACGCTAAATGACACAAAGTATTCCCAGCTATTCATATGTGTAAATGTTTCTCTTTTTTTTTCTGCTTTCTGTTTTCCTTTTTGTTTTGTTCATTCTTTTGTGCTGTTTAAGTGAAATACATGTAAAATGAATTTGGTTTCACTCACAATGCTCGAGTTGAATGCGTCTCCCCAGCCCCAACGACCCCAAAATGACCGCCAATCAGGTTGTCAGACACACTCAACGAGCTGATTAGCTTATCGCGAGCAGCGGCAAAACATTTGTGATACCAGAGGAACTATTCTGATATATAATACCCCCAGACCCATTGGGCATATCAATGTAGACGGGCCAGCAGCAGAAGAAGAAGAAACTCTATTCAATTCTTATCTGAAATGTTTTTCTCTCAATCTGAAGTCAGCCCTATCGGACACACAGATATATTGGGGTTTTTTTCTCCTGCTGTAGGGGAAAAAGGGGTCAAGTCGGTCATTGTTCCCCTTACGAAACTCGGGGCAAATTGACTTTGGGACAACATTGGGAAATTTTAACGGAAAAAGCTACGGTTAAGTGAAACGATTCATAAGCTGATGCAGAGCTTTGGTCTTAAAATTAAAGCTGCGAATGGAAACTTTTTGAAGCTAAGACCAGCAAAAGTAAGAATTGAATCAAATTAATTAAATGTAAAGGTGAATTAGATTAATAACAGAGTATGATAACAGAGTATGTCAGTGTTTTCTTTTTAATAGCCAATCTTTTTTTTTTTTTCATTTTTGTTTTTATACCCTGAACCCATTGAAAATGGGAAATCAGGGTATAATGGT